AACGGTGCACTGAGATCAATTCTCATTACGGAGATCAAATACCAGATTGCATCTGAAATTCAACGTACTGCTGTTGCGATGAAGGAAATCCCGCCTTCAAATTGGTTCCAACAAAAAGGTACCAAAAAACTTGAAAATCAAAAACCGAAAAGATTCAGGAAACATCAGAACACCAAACAATCCCTGCGGGGGCTGCCCCGGCAGCAGCCCCCGCGTCAAGGGCCCGTTGCCTCTGGGCTTGCACCCCATGGGGTAATGGGCCGATTTCAGCAACATTGTTCTCGTCTTTTTCCGGGCTCGTCCTTTTCCGGGCCGCCATACTTTCTGTGTTTTGGTCAATTGGGGGTGGGCCTCCTCTCAGTGCCGAGGTGGGCAGCTCACCCTTCACGCCATGGGGGAGGAGAGCTCACCCTTCGCGCCATTGTCTCTGTGTGTCTCCGCGGTCACTGGAGAGATCAGGATTCCTCTCAACATGGTTAAAGGGCGTTCGCTACCGTGACCTCGCGATCACTGGAGAGATCATAAAGCCCATTGATAAGGCCTACGGGCCACGTCAACATGCAGACATCGGAGAGTCGATTCGCCGACGAATCTCCTTCGAGGCGGGCTTCCCCGTTGGAAGCCCGCCTCTTGTCGGCGTCGCGCCTCGCCGCGACCGCAACGGTTCGTCTTTGGCCTGGAGCGGTCGATGCGTTCGCATGGGACATCAACGGTCCCTTCTTCTGATCTAATCGGGCCCATGGTCGTGGGTTGGTCGCCCGAGGAGATTCAAACTCAGAACATGTCTCGGCGACATGATGGGATGCATCATGAGAAGCGCTGCTGGCTCCACGATGTTGGTAAGTTGACTCCGCTGCTCTCTGTCCTCGTCTTCAAAGCTTACCTTATCGTTCTCTTCAGGGTTGTCGTGCTCCGAGTCCCCGAAACATCTCATGTGAAAGAGCACAAACATGCAAACAGAATGTCCGCTGTCCAAGACATTGGTGGCAAGTTCTTCCCTTTTCCTTCTCCCTGACCCAGGACACAGCTTCCATCATCTATGCGGAGCCACTGCTAACTTGTCTTTGTAGTGTGTGTGCTCTTTGTTCAATGGAGAGCAGCGTCGGCATTCGTTATGACGGCCTGTACGATGTTGTTGGCCGCGAGACAGCTCTGAAGAACGAGGTTGGCAGTTATTCCAGATTCGAACTCCACCGTCGCGATGGTCGAGGACAGTTTATGTATCGAAATCCGTATCACGCGATACGAGTACGGGTACTTGAGAATGCGCACAGAGGCACTTGGGAAGGGTCAATCTCAAAAGGTCGAAGATTTCGTTGGATTGGTTGATGACGGATGTCGATTATTCAAGGAACTCATACCTACCTAGTTGACATGGACGGGTCGTGTACGATGGATTACCTGGTCTGCTTGACCAATCGACAAACGAATCGAAACCCTGAAAGCAACTGTGTCCAGTACCATGCACACCTGGCAGAGGGTCAGATCGTGAATCACTTGCTTGCTAAAGTACGCCGATCGTTGGCATTTACTCATTCTAGAACTCCTGCCGAGGCAAGTGCCCGAGACTCTATGACCATCGCAGGGACAAAGTGTACTGACTGAAGAAGTCACTCAAGCCGATCCTGGCTTTGAGCTTCTCCAATATCCCACGTGTATTTCCTTGGCTGGCAGATGCCAAGCTACCGCGATGTTACGTTCACGCCGGTACCTTGCATGGAGTCATGAGGCAGCCTTGGCAACTCGAGCGATGTCCGGTTTCCGATAAGTCGTTCGCAGTGGTTCTAGCGAGAGGACGGCAACCGCCCATAGGGCTTCCGAAGTGCGGAAGTCGACTTCCCCAGTGCAATTTCTTTGCTTTTGCCAAGAGGTGCGCTTCCCTGACAACGTTGAGCTTCGAGAAGAACCATCACCAGGTTCGCTATGCATCCGCAAGACAGTCTCATCATCTCGGCGAAAACTTCTGGACTCGAAGACAACAGTCACGCATGGCGAGCAGCTCATACATACAAGAGACGGCCTTGGCACGAAACATCCCATCGTTTCAGTCGTCAGATTAAACTCTAAAGTTCTGTCTAAGATAACCTTAGTCGGAACATTTTTCTAGACCACCCCCCAATACGAAAACCTCCGTCCCCACCTCAAGCTTCTCCTACTGACTACACCTCGAATCAGCATCCTTGCCGAAATCCTTGCAGACCTCCCGGCCGAGAGCCTTGATCCCCTCGACAACCCACAAACGGTAGTTCGAAAACACAAACACCTTGCCAGGCGCGAACGCAAAGTTGTTCGACACCTCGCCAATGTGAATCTTGCCCAGCAGGACGCCCTCGGGGTTCCACACGTGCACGCCGTCGCCGCAGCCAGCCCACACATTGCCGTCCGTGTCGGTGTGCACGCCATCCGGGAACCCAGAGTCCGCATACGCGAACATGCGCTTGTTGGCCAGCCGCTTGCCGTCGACAATGTCGAACGCGTAGATGGTCGCCGGGCCCGTCAGGTTCGCCGTGTACTCCTGCGCGCCCGTGTCGGAGACGTACAGCGTCTTGTAGTCGGGCGAGAACTCGAGCCCGTTGGGCTGCCGGAAGCCGTCCGCGACGACCTGCACGGCGCCCGTCGCGGGCGAGAAGCGGTACACCTGCGTCGGCAGCTGCGAGGCCGGGCGGAAGTGCTGGAAGAGGCCGTACTCGGCGTCGGTGAACCACAGGTCGCCCGTGCCGGGGTGCTGGCGCACGTCGTTGACGGAGGAGAAGTTACGGCCGTTGAAGCCGACGAGCAGCGGCTGCGACTTGTTCGTGTTGACGTCGACGGCGAGCAGCTGCGAGTAGGATGCGAAGTCGCCCTCGTCGCACCACACCTGCATAGGCGGCGTGGCGGAGGTGTCGGCGCCGGGCGGGTAGTAGGAGGTGCCGCCGTTGGCCTCGGCGAGGTTGGTGAGTTGGGTGCTGGTGACGGTGAGGTCGTCGAGGGAGAGGACGGTGATGTTGATGTTGTCGGCGAGGGACTGGTAGTTTGAGGAGATGTAGAGCGAGTTGTCCTTCTTGTTGTAGATGCCGCCCTCGTGGAAGGCCTGCCAGGGCAGGTCGGCGATCTTGCGGGCGGTGGCGTTGGCACCGACGACGTCCGCGAAGGCCGGCTCGTAGGCGAGCAGCGAGATGGTCGGGGTGGAGAGGTTGGCGGCGTTGATGGAGGCGAGGTAGCCCGCGCCGCCGACGGCGAGGGCGTTGAGGTCCACGTTGACGAGGGACATTGTGGCGGCCTGGAACCAGAGGGCGATCTGCTGGAGGGAGGGGATGTTGCTGCTGGAGAGGCCGATACCTTCGAAGAACTGGGAGAAGCCGTACCGGGAACCCTCGGCGGCGGAGGAAGAAGCAGCAGCAGCAGCAGTGGTGTCGGCCGTGGCGGCGGCAGAGGACGCGGGATGGGAAGCTTCCTCTTTATGCTCCCGGTCACCGGCCACGTTCAACTGCTCCGTATCCATCCGGGTGAGAAGCACCCTGCCCAAAACCCTGCAGGCAGTCTCCGTCTGTGGAAACGCAATGACGTTTGAATGGGACGTCAGGCCGTTGGTGGCTCTTGTTAGCGGCGGCCGGTAAGATGGTGATGGGCGCACGCGCGGAGTCAAGGGCCGGGCTAGCTTTGTAGGGGATCGGAGACAGCAGCAACAAGCCAATATCTTGTTTGTGTCTTGGCCATGTTACCCCGCAGAGAATGTTTCTCTGCCTCTCTTTCTCCCCACAATCGGAGCCAAGACCCTTGTCCGGCACTCGACACCCATCGCGGAGAGAAGTCCGGCTTCGGAGCAGGTGGGGCTCCACGGTGCCATTGCATTTGGAGGTGCGGACAATGAGCGGACGTTTTCTGTTCCCTCTTCATATCTTGGACCCCCTTGAGCCCGCTGTCCGGCAGTTACACGCGCTCTCCCTCCATCTGAGTCAGTGCGAGCTGCACGATGTTGGAGAAGGGCAAGACAGGAAAGTCGGACAAGGAATGTGGAGGCGGAGATTTTGCTGCTCATGAACAGGGGGGCAGATCTTGGGCAAAGTGCGGAGATGATGCAACTCTAACCCCACAACCAGACGACTTGACAAGCAAGCTGCTTGGAATGCCCCTCTTGCTCGGCACTGGTGCATGGCAACTAAGCATAAGTGTGTCTTCGCTGTGGTTTCTTTGTTCATCTCAAGTCATTTGAGCGTGTTTAAACCGTTGGGTTGAGGGGATGGCAGCTAACCAGACCGGATGATATGCTACATCGCGTCGTTGTGACCATGAAATCGAGCAACCCATTGACAAGTCTTTCTTCAAGATATCTATGTGACTGTATCCAAAGAAGCAAGCCTGGGTTATTTGAGAAGCTTGCACTAGTAATTCCCCGTTGCATAAGGTTCAGCAAAATGAGAATGATGAGCAAAGGACTGTCGCGATTTCATAAGACCCCTCTCAACGTTCCACACAGTTCCGTGCCGGAACCCCAAAGTCCGTCAGCCACAAATTCCCCCGGGTGCCACAGTTTGGCGCTAAGGCGGCTGAAAGTGTGGCTGTGGGGAACGTGGCTCAGGCATTATCTTTAGGTTTGGCCCCAAAGCACCCAGATGAGGGGCCTCATTTCCATGAAGTCACTCCTGGTGCAATCAAGCTGACGGAGCCACCCCAAAAACCTTGGGTTGGCCTGATAAAACTCAAAGAAAGTCATCGATGTGGTTGTGGCTGGCTGGCTGACTGTGTATCTGGCTCATACAAAGTCTCCGCCCGTCCCAAGTGTGTCTCTGCCCAGGAATCGGTTCCTTTCGCTCCACATCACCTCATCAACCCACCACAACGATGCGACCCGTCAGTCTGTTTGTGCTTCCTCACGAGCTGCGTGACATCATCTATGGATTCTATGTTAGCATCGATGTCTTTGCGACACTGACAGCTTCATCCGAGGAAAGCTGAAAGGAGCGAAATGAGACCGCATCCACCTGTCCCTCGTCTACACCTGCACGCGCGTCGCGGAAGAGATGGACCGCGGCGGTCTTGCCTTGCGCCTGAATACCACCACTTTCTCGCCCATCTCCGAGGAGTCACTCGGCTGGCTTGCTGGCAGCTTCCAGAGAAAGAAGGACGCCCTTGATCGGACGAGGTTGGCAATGCTTCAAACCGTGGGGTACTGCATCCCGGACGCCGTTTACTCTGAGATGGCAACGGCATACCCGCGACTTCTACCCTTGCTGGACCGCCTGAAGCGAGAGGGGCGTCGGTCGCCACTTGAGGCCACGCTCTTGGCCATGGAACGCCGCGGACCCTATGGCGAAGCTCCTTCGGTCTACCGCGAGTTCGTCAAGGACGTCCTCCAGAAGTCATCAACCTGCGATAGCGAATTCCAAGACGCCGTGCGACGCCGTGCGGAATTACTGGCCCGAGGTTGTCGAAACGACGCCGGATCGACGCGCATGGAATCCTTTCTCCATTGTATACAGCACCATCGAGCCCTGGACGGTCCCATCCCATACGCAGATGCGCAGGCTGGAGTCAGAACTACCTGTGTACCAGAGTCATCGCGCTGGTTTGACAGCCGATCGCTCAATCCACCGCTTGTCGGCTGCTGCGGCTGCCATCTACTTTTTGGAATCCATCCCCCACGAGAACCGCACCCACCTCCGGAGAATCATCCTTGACGAAAAGGATGAAGCTGTTTCGAACTCGGAGTGCTATACCCGAGGCCTCATACTGTTTGTCAGGAATACCCTCTTCTCCGAATCGAACGACGTGTTTCGCTGTGGGAGAACATCTTCCAAGAAGACTTCAACTATCTTGATACAGAAAGGCGATATGTGCTCAAAGATTGATCTGCTCCAGCCTTTCTCAACTCGGATCGGATCACAGGCAATGTAGCGTCTTGGATTGTAGAAGCTATAGCGCTGCTCCCTGCTAGCATGCCCGCAAAGTTCTTCTCCCTCCTTCTAGACGGAAGCTATTAATATCGACTTTGACCTCAACGACTACAAGGAGCACGTCATTGGCGAAGGACGCGGCGTGAAGGCGGCCTCGTACATCGAGTGCAAGCTTGCCGGTAGCAAGCAGGCCGTCTGGGGTGTTGGAATCCACGAGGATATGGTACATAGCTTCCTGATTGCTTTCCTCAGCGCGGCCAGCAATGTAAGTGCCTGCCACATGAACGGCAGAGCGAGGAATGTCACTAACGGAACTCATAATATGTGGCGAGCAGGCCGACTAGCTCTCTCGTGAATCCCGCGGTTGCCTCCAAGGAGAACGACATCCCCAGCGTCATCTCCGTTCTCGAGGAGAAGGCCAACGGGATGTAATTTTGTACTATGAAAAAAGGGTAACTTCATTCGAGCATTCAACATTGTCTCAACATGGCTTCGGTGTTATCTTAACGGTCTGCATGTGTCTTGCTGCGGATGACAGTTGGTTATTGTAGTCTCGGCATTCATCATGAGTATGAACTATTGGGTACTAGTATTTGCAGTTTCTAAGGTCCATACAAATTGACAGTGATTTCTATGTGTCTTGGTAATTTTCCTCAGAGCATGGCAGTTGCCACCAGGCCGACCAAGATACCCAAGCTGATAGGCACCTTGTTACCGCTTGCGGGGATGACTACAGAGGTCGGCGTCGCAGTAGTACTCGAGTTATGAATAGTCCCCGCGTTGGCGCCAGTGGTCTGGGCGGCGAAGGTGGTGCGGCTGTAAGTCGCGTTGGCCACGGAACCGGCGCCGGGCGTCACGATGGGCGACGCCGAATTCCCTGTCGACGCGTGAACGCCTTCAGCAGCAACAGTGCTTGTGACCACAGGCGCTGAATACGATGAGCTTGCGCTTGCTTTGCCAGGGCAGGAAAGATCAAAGATGGGAGTATTGCTTAGAACAGAGCCGACGACGCCGAAGCTGGGATCGGGAGTGATAGGCGAAGAGTCCTGGAAGGTGTACCACCACACATTCGTGCCATTGGCAAACATGGGGCAGCCGATGGTGTCATAGTACTTCTTCGCGTTCTCAGGCGACGCCACAGCTTTACCAACCGTCTTACCGCTGACAGGCCACCCGGTCTCGGTGATCCAGATCGGCTTACCTCCAGCACCCCCCAGCGTTTTCCCCAGGCCGTCCACGAAGCGGTCCTGGCTGTCGTCGATGGAGTTGGGCGCGAAGTCGTCGAAGAAGGGGTACGCGTCCATGCCGACCCAGTCGCACGCGTCGACAACGGCTTTGTTGCTCGAATTACCCCACGCGGTCCATGTATCGACGTGACCTATAGGCGCGCCTTCCAGGGGCGATCCCGCGATAGCGGCGCGGACCTGGGCGATGTAATCGACGATGGAACCAGGCTGGGCTCCAGGGTTCGAGCCCGCGGCTACGCCCATCGGCGACAACCTATACAAATCCTCACTACCGACGGAGATTCCGTCAATGAGGCCGTGAAGTTGGTCGCCGTACTGAGCGATAGTCTTCTTCAGAGCCTCAATCTCGTGCGCGAACTGGGCGTCGCCGGCAGAGGCCCAGAGACCGAGGAGGAGGGATGTTTTGGTGGCGATTGCGGCCTGGATCGCGGAGATCGGGTCGTTGGTGGTGCCGCTTTGGATCATGGTGTAGAGGCGCGCCGAGGTGAAGGCGCCGTCGGTGCCTGCGAGGCTGGCCGCTGTGCGGAACTCGGCTTCGTAGTCGTTGAGAGTCTTTGCGCGGCCATCGGAGAAGGTGGCGCCGTAGTTGAAGCCGCGGGCGGCGTTGGCAAGGGAGACGGCGAGGACAAGGGCCGTGAGGGTTTGAGAGAGACGCATATTGGTGAAAGGTTTATTATTATTTGGAGAATGATGGACTCTGGTGGGATTATTATTAGGAATTGAGAAGGAATGCGCGACGCGCGAAACGAGTGACGCTCTGAAATGGTCGGGTCAGAGTACCGCTGGGGGACCGAATGTTGTAGGTGTCAGGTGAGGAAACCCGAATATTTGAACATGAGAAAGCCTACTGAATTATATAGAGTAAATGAAGAAGTTTGCATAAGCAATCTTCATAGAGGCTGCTCATTTCCGTTTGACGGCATGTTGTCTTGGAGATTGCTATTCGTTGCCATCAACGTCCAGTATTTCCAATCTGAGATGGAATAGGCAACTCCATAAGATGAATGCTATATTATACTTTTGGAAAGTGAGCGTCTATTGTCCCTTTCCGTTGGCGTCTTGAGCCCCATACCCTTGTCGTTCTATCGATTCGCCAGGGCACCCTATAAAGAAAACCAACACTTGCTTTTGACGTTGCGACCGGCTTGATGCCGACCATTCTCCTGGATTCTTGGACGAACCGAAGACGCGGGCTTAGATGATGTCTACCTTCCAGGACGACTCTCATTGACACATTGTTAATCAATCTCCTCCAAGTCACGCGGAGTTTTGAAGACTGGGCGGAAAGAATGTTTCTGTCGCCCGCAGCCAGAGATAATAGGACTCAAAGAGTGTGTCTTATTGATCGTGGAATCTGCCTATTCAACTGATGCATTCAACTCGCAAGTGTGGACTTCTGGGCTGCCCAAAGAGCGAGTCAGCTACATCGAAGTGCCTGGTCGGGGTAATTGTTGCCCCGGCTCGGAAACTTTAGACTGGAATGTCGTTCTCGCCCTGCCGAGTCTACTTTTGCTTGTTGGGTCCCTCCGATGCTCTGTCCTTGTAACTTAGCTGCTGTTGCGGTCATGTCCTTTGGATGATAGCAAGTGGTTGCCAGCTGGAGTGGAGGAATGAGATTAGATCGATGAAGAGAGTTTCGACAGGGAAAGTTGTTGAGGGCCATTATCTTGGTATTTCACTCAGATACCAAGCACATGAGAAACTACGGGATGAAGCAAAATTAGAATAATCCACTACAGGTGTTTGGTCCTATCATATAGTTCTACCTGAAGGCGAGAAGAACTTTTATTAGCAAAGTATTTGCCACCGAGAATATCTTTTCCTGCGGCCACGCCCCGTGACTGTGTCTGCGTGCGCCAGATACGGTTGCAACGTATGTCATACTTGCGAACGACTGAAGCAAGATTGAGAAGATTAGCAGACATTCAAAGAGAATCCGTTGCATCCTGGAATATTCAAACGCCCAAGGCAGTTGACATACAGCGCGAAACTTCATAGTGGGGGACTCGTCGCTTATATGCTCAGGAGGAATGGACCATCCACTTGGCTGTCCGAAAGCCATCGCGATGCCTATGATACTTTTGCGTCATCTAATATTGCTGATTTTGTTCCATTTCTTTGATACGTCACGTCCAGCCGCGAATAGGACTTGCCGACTCGAACGCGTTCGTACCTAGTCACCTTGAGTAATCACCATCCACGCGAAGATTCGGGGTAATGGGGAACGGAAGCACGTATGATGCGGGCAGACCCCCAGCATCCGACACTCCAATCTCAGTCACCACCTCCCCATTCTCCACGTCAACGTCAAAATGTACCAGCTCTTCTTTTGGCCAGGACTTGCCGCGGATGTCCGTTGCGCTGATGGTTTCGACTCTGCGGGCGGTTTCGGGATGGACAGTGTCAAGGAATAAGAGGTGCTCGCTGTCCCAGATCCACTTTTGCCAACGAACTGCCGAGGAATCCTTCCAAAGATGCTTTGCGAGCCAATTGGTATACGGGTGGCGAATCGGTCTATATTCAAGACATCGTCCCAATCTGGTTGGTTGATGGGGCTGCGAACAGCCCGAGGCTCAGTATGATCTCTTGACCAACGGGTTCCTCTGTTTTGGTATTAGTAGCTTCTTTGGCTGTTTCGCTTCAATTCACCAAGAAAGGAGTTGCTTCCTTGATGGTGGTTTTGAACAGCACCGGGATTCAACTCGCAACGGCCTGTCCAAGGACACCAGTGATTTCGTAGTTGTGCTGCGGACGTACAAGAAAAGTCCTGTGGTAAGGTCTCCCAAAGGTGTCCGACCCACCATTGGAGCCTAGGGTTGCCGATTCGAGTTGAGCTACGTACCTAATACTTTGATCTGTCAACCCGTAACCACTTTCATGATGGCAACGCAGAACGCAAGTGTGAAAAGAAGGAGTGGAGGAGGAACTTTCTGTGCGAAAAAAGGAAAACAGGACATTGCCGACTTGATGTGTATCCTGTGATATGAACTACCGCAACCTGATGGAGCCTCGCAGTGAAGGACAAACTTGAAGAATAAGAACTAGTCAAGGCAAAGTTTATCGCCATGGAGATCTGAAGGCTTACTGCCATGGAATGTACTGAGTTCCTCTCCTAGGAAGGACTTTCCCCACCACTCACTGAATAAGATTATGGGGCAGGAGCCATTATTGAGCGAGAGATATGACGTCAGTGTAACCGTAGTGATGTCGTTCAGCAGCAGCTCAGCCTTGCTGCCTTTCACCCACCCGCCCTTTGCTACCTGAACCACTACCACCCATCAACTCTCTGGGTCTAGCAAGAGCTCACCTAACCTACCTCCTTCCTTCGCTTTCTTGATCGAACCACGCTAGTCCGCGCACAAAAAGATTCAAATCAAAACAAAAAGAGAAGCGAACCGAAGACAAGCGAGACGAAATCCTGCCCAGCCCTATACGCCTTCGACCGACCGCCCTGCCTCTCTTCGACCTATACCCTCTATCTCAGACGACGCGTCCTCTGACCTTTCTCTTCTTCCTTCTCCCCCACACACAAACCTTTCCAAGCTTTCTCTTTCACACACCACAACAACCACTTCCTTCAATCACTACCACAAAGAACAACCATCACCACTTCAACCTTTCACAACTTCACCCTTCAACCAAACCAAACCCCCTTCACAACCAGTCAAGATGAACGTAAGTTTTGATCCCACTCCCCATTCTCACCTCTTCACACAATCTTACAATCTCTCCAGGGTTTCACTGCCACCGCCATCCTCGCCTTCACCGGCACCATGGCCAACCTCGTCGCTGGCGCTCCCGCCATCGAGGCCAACGGCACCCGCCGCAAGCTCACTACTACCTCTACCCCCACTGTCACTACCGCCACTGATCGCTGGACCTTTGGCTGGCCCTCTGGTCTCCCTGTCCCCATCCTGACTACCATCCGCCCCGAGGAGCCCACCATCACCCCCACTCAGGTGCAGTCGTACAGCACCGTCCTCCACACCCGCAAGAAGCTTCCCCAGACCACCTCCACCGCTGACGTTGACGTCGAGATTGAGTACGTCACCGTCACCCAGGTCGTCGAAGTCCCCGTCACCACTGGCGTCTAAGCTTCTTTCTCACACAAGCATGGTCTGAGATTTGGGAACTTTCTCAATTTGGCAGGTGTTTTCAAGGACAGGGCAAGGAACATTGGGAAACGCAAGGATTTGGTAACAATACCCCGGATTTGGCTTTTGGCGTTGCGCGGAGGGCTGGAACACATGGGCTTTGGTCTTTCTTTCTTTCGCTTTTCTTCTTTCTTCTTGGGGATGGGAAACACTTGGCACCCTCTTGGAAGGGCTGGACATGCAGCATGGGTTTGGCTTTGGGATTAGGCATATGAGATTCTGCAGCTGAGGTTGCAAAGACACAATGAGATCGATCACTCTGACACACACTTCTTGACCACTTTTGTGATGCTGTGTGATTTTGAGGATGCTTTCTGTTCGTGATGCTGTGAATGTGTTTGTTTTGCTGCCTTCTTGTCTCGCCGCTTGGTTGCCCTTTGATGCCATGTTCTGGGAGGAAGTCGCGATCGGGAAGTTGTGATGAATTTTATTTTCGTAGGTCTACGCTGCTTGCTGCTACAGCCTTATCAGCCACCCGCAGATTCTTCACCTCATACTGTGAAGTTTACTGATGCTTTCTGTATATCATCACTATCTAGCGAACCGGATCCTTCTCATAAAATTCGTGGCATTTGTGCTATCTGATACACATTTGTAGAGAGCAAGCCACCGTCCTCGCATCGTCTGGTGACGAGTAGGCGCGGCGAGACTGTTTCCTGGACTCAATGGCATCAACACGACGGTCGCCATTCTCTAGAACAGTTTATCCTCGTGAATGGTGATAGGTGAAGCCTTCCGGAAGCGATTAGATGCGGAAGTACCGGTCGACGATGTTGTCGTAGACTTTGACACCGTAGCTGCCACCGCTGTGAATGAGGTCTGCGACGCACTCAACGAGATGGTTCCGGAGGACGTCATTCAGTAGTACGCAACGGTCTGTGGCTTTGCTCTCCCGCGAATGGCACATGCTTATCGCGGTAAATCCCCGGCGAGGAGGGCACGGCTGGCGCCACAACCTGAAGATGCGCTTGATGGTATTCGACGGCTGAAGAGCGGGAGACGTAGTCGATCGTGTTGGCTCCCGAGCTGAACTTTGCTTCGCTTCATTAGCGGAAGACGCGTCTTCTACGTTGTCGAGCAGGCCCTATGACGGGCTTCACATGAGGGTAGTTGTCGACTGTTGTAGTGCGCGAAGGATGCAATCTTGGTGCCTGCGACATGTTAGCTGACTTGTATTGCGTGTGCGAGCGGTACTGAATGACAGATGCGATGCGCATGCTTACCTCGTTCTCACTGACGGATGAGCTCATGGTTCGGTGACAACAGCTCTGCCATGTATTAAACCGCGGCACGCCTCCAACCACGTGGGTGTTGGGCTCTGCCTGGCGAATCGTCGAGGGACGGGCTCGAAGACCCTTCGCATGATGTAGTGCCCAATTCCGATCTCAAGCAGTGCTGAACATATCCCATAAGCTCGGAAACAATTCGTCTATATCCGGAACACTCGTGGACACGAACTCCTGGAGCTCGGGCATGTCGACTGGCTGCTCCGCAATGCTAGCGGTCGCGGTCGACGAAGCAAGCTTCTCGATGACCTCGGAGTACTGCGCGATGCAGAGATCGCCGAGATCCCAGGCCCTTTGCCGGTGCGTCTGCAGCGCGAACATGAGGTCGCGGGCCAGCTTCAAGGACATGCTCTGGGCCAGACCGCTGACGGTGTTCTCCGTTTCGAGCGCGCAGCGAAGCAGGAACTTTGTCGTCGACGTGAATGCGAACGTCATCAGCGGGAGCCAGTAGTCTCCCAACTGTGGCTCTTTCAGTTCCTGCACCAGTAGAACAATCTCTTCGGCCGCGCGGCGAACTTCGAGGTAGCAGCGCATCGGGATTGAGGAGGTATGGTCGGCGCTGGCGGCTTTCTCCGCGTCGAGCTCCCATTTGCGGAGGAGAAGCTTGATGTAGAGGTATGCGAGTCGGAGGTTGGCTGACCCAGGCATGTCGAGGCTGTCGCCGCCGCGGATGATTCGTCTCCGCAGAGGGTTGTCGAGCGAGTCTTCCCACTTTGTCAACAGGACCTCGAGATCCCATGGGCCGCTGGTGAAGGTTTTTTCAAGGTCGTATATGCGTTCTAGGTATTTGTCGAGGAACTGTGCTAGCGAAACGAAGGCGAGGTAAACAGACGCGGCGTTGAGATCGAGGGTGCTGGCAGCTGGCCCGCAGAGCTGGTCCACCGTCGGGAGAGACACATCATGTTGACCACTTCGTAGCTGTGGGGGTGTACCGTAGGCAAGACTCGACCTGCGTATTGTCAGGGAAAAAGGACATCGCCTCGGATCAAAACGACTCACCACTTGTCGTACACAAAGATGGCCCACCAAATCTTTGTCCTTAACAGCTTCTCTGATTCAGGAATGTCCCAGTCGGACGGGTCTCGGTTTAAGCCGAGTGAGTGGGCCAGGGAAATGGCTGATCCCAATTGTAGGCCATTGCCTATGATTGAGGTCAAAGGTCTCCCAGAGATATTGAGAAGAATGCTAAGAAGCGTTGAGATACCGGGTGACAGATGGATCTCGGAGTACAGGGCGTCGTTGGCTTGATTCCAGATGAACCTGGTGTCGGGGCGGTGGTGTTCGATGAGAGTCGGAGACTGAGCCCAGTATGTCATTGTATGGGCATACAGACACGATAGCAGAGCCGGAGCGATGTGATTTCTGTCTTCGGCGAAGCGTTTCTCGAATGATCGTCTGTCCAGCAAGGGGAAGCACCTGTTAGGCTTCTCAAAGAATCTGCAACAACTGGTCAGGGCAGAGTCCTGTGTTTTGATTGCTGGTGGTTACTTACAGCTCAATCACGTCTGGCAGCAGGGGCTCTAAAAGCTTTTCAATGACCTGACATTTCAAGAAAGCGGGCGTTCGGTCATTTGGTACGCCAAGAGGTTGCTTTCGCACAGTGGTGAAGACGACAGGTTTGCGACCGCTGCCGCCATGGTCTTGACGTGGGCTCGTGCCGGATATCCTCGTTCGAATACCTCGATTGAGTACAGATGAATCATTGGAAAGGTACGTTGACAGGATCTGAGTGTCCTCGATATCCGCCGGTCCAACAATGTGCGCCTCATCCTCGCCGCCTCCGGCGATGGGTTCCACGTAATGTCGATCACGCGGGGAGCTCGGAGCCAAAGCACCGTCCGGCGACCGTGACACACCCTGAGCCGGAGGAGGTACAGTCGATAACGGCAGTGTGCTGAGCTGAGAGACGAGAGTGGTCTCCGAGGAAAACGTTGTCTGTGGCGGAGGAGACAAGGCGCGGTGGCCCAGGTCGCTCGACTTGCGGGCTTGAGCGGTCCTCCATGCGCTCTTCGGCCGCGGCGAGGTCCCGGTGGCTGGAGCTGGAGGGAACTCGCAGGATGTGCCGTGGGCACGACATGTAAGACAACTCGACCCGGTGCGATCCACGTTACACCGGGACTTGCGCTTCCGACAGGCCAAACATGCCGGCCGGAGGTGGGAACGGTAGGGGCGCTCCGAGGGAAAGGGATCTTCGCCAGCCTCGTTCGACATGATTCAGGCTTTTGAACTGGCGTGAAGGATGATGGAACTGGGCATTATGGCCAAAGTAAACGGGTTGGCCGTGGACTTGGTCAACATGTTGCCTTATCTGGAGCATCGCTGATGGCGGAGGTGAGTTTCCCGAGGTGAAGCTGCAAGGTTTCCCGAGGGGAAGATGGTGGCATGGCTCGTGCACGATGCTTATCTGATTGCCATCGGCGATAAGGGTAAGCCCGATGACAGGTACCGTCTTGCGATTTCCTCCCTCTCGAGTCTCGACCAACAACACCCTTGCATTATTTTCAACGGCAGAGTCTCGAATCCCAAACAAGGACGTCTTGATTCTTTCGACTGCAATCTCTCAATTATGAGGGACTTTTCAGTCCCGCAACTGCACCCGTTTCGGCTTTTCTCAGGCAGCTGAAATCCCGTCGCAGCCATGCCTCCCATCGACACTCGGGAGCTCCCACATACACGCTCGCTCAAAGACGCACCTTCTGGTCTCTGATATCGACTGATACTATGAACAGATGCATCATCGGTAGGAATTGACGGGAAAGATGGCGATGAGCAGAACGAACATGCACACCGTCTCAGAGTATGCCGTCTTCGTTGTTGTCGCATCCAACCAAGAAAACACAAAGCCAGGTAGTGTAGAGAGAAAGGCCAAAAGTGATGCATCTTCTCGAGTGCGACCGGAAGATTGTTGGTGTAAGTTATCCCTCTACCTGCCGAAGCTGATGGCCTTGCTAACACGAAGCCAGTCAACCTTCGGTCAGGAATCAGGATAAGAGTCGCTACCAAGGTTACCCATGACCACACCAACAACTTAAGCTGGACTGCATGCTCTGTTGCATGGTCTGCCCTCCTGTTATTTCCGTTGGCGAGCGTATCAGTCCCTTTTTGCCGCTCGGTCTGGGCCAGTCCTCAAATCACATCACTGTCGATGAAAGCCACGAGCTCGAATCTGGGATTCCGAATATCTTCACGAGCAAGCTTAGCATTGCTGGCCACGGGACGGCGTTACCGTTCAGTTGGGTGTCCGGTCTCACAACGGTCGCAAAGACCAGGGGCCGACGATGCCACGCATGCGCATGCTGGGAGCTGCGAACACCTGGTGCTCCGTCTCCCGCAGTCCCGATCGAACCTATGACTAGGCAGCCGGGATAGGTCAATGTTGGCGGGAGACAATTGAGTTGCCGTCCTGCGGCCTCCCGGCGACTTGTGTCGTCGAGTGCATCCAATCCTCGGCCGGAACGCACGTCCTCCCGACGGGCTCGTCAAGGCATTGAAAAGGCGTTGCGAACGCAGAGGGATGCTCCTGACCTTGGATGAAGCACAAGACGGTATCACAAGATGCGGCGAACTCGCGAACATAAAAAACGACGACGTGGTCATCATGCCCATCGTGTACAGGGCGGAATGTGAGCGCCATCCCCAGTCACTGCCGTCGAAGGCGACGAGATTGAGAGGTCACAACGAAAGGAACTTTTGAACATCTAGCACCCATGTCCAGAGCCATTTACCGGCTGCAGTGAGCGCCAGGGTCTTTGAGATCGTGGTGCGGGATGACCTGGTCGGCCATTCGGCGGAGTAGGCCATTTCCATGACGCTCTGAAACGACTCCAGGAGAGGCATAGTTGTACTGGCGATATTTACAGCCGAGGCTTCATGGCCCGTTGCCAACGACAACTGCAAAAGCCCCAACGAGTAAACCTCAGGCAATGGGCAACACGGCGCGTGAAGCCGGGGGTCGAGCCAATCTCAGCAATTATTCCAGCCTTAGGGGCAAGATCGCAGGGTCGATCACGATTGTTGTGGAACGGCCTAATCATGTGCAGGGGTACTCTCGAACAGACATTCGCCAGCACCCTGGGAACACAGCCTCTGCACTAGAGACGAACATGATTTAGCAGACGAAAATATGCCAACGAATAGCACAGAATCCTTCAACTCAATGCCGCCCAACCAGGGGCCATTTGAAATTCTTCAAGGAGGTTGACGCGTCGGAAGCATAACGATTGCATCTTCAGCAGCGTAGCATCCGGCACAACAGGGAAATATGACCGAGATCGGGGATCGCCCGTGACCCACTGCCCCTCGCAGGAGTACCCAGAAGCCGACGGATCGCCGTGGAGCACTGGAGCATACCTTTCTTTTTTCCCGCAGACCATGCCAACATCAACATCACTTTTGTTGGAGCATGATTCCTGCCTTTTCCCTCCTCACGGCTGCGTTCGTCTCCGCTGCCAGAAGGCAGGGAGGCGCATGGGACAGTTGTTCGCAGAGTCTCATGACTGACGGAAGCTTACAGGACGAGTCATCGTAGGTGCCACGCCGCCACTGGTTGCCATTCACGGTTGAGGATTCCCTGGGGAGATGAGATCTAGCCAAGGTGTTTGCTGCCGACAGGGTCCATACATGACGGAGGGAAACGTCCAAGAACTTTGAAGTGTTTATTCAACGCAAGGCCATCAGATGGTGGCTGTTATCCCGTCGGTCGAGACCGACTCAGCAGCAGTGCAGGGCCTGAAGCTTGTGCCCAGCATGTCATGACCGCATATCGCCTCCTCATTCCCAGTGTCTCATCGCCACGATTCAGAAACGCATCCTTCGTTTTCGGCAGAGCAGCCAAAGGGCCCCAGGAATATCTGCCTAGAGTTGCGGCTTAATTCCTGGATGGTGGGATGCAGAAGAAGGGATGTGGGTAGTCTACTTATTGCGACAGTCGCGAGTCAGTCTCGGCCCCAGCGAATAGGAAATCAAGCCCGGCGTCCGATCTTTGGCTCCATGGCATGACGACAGGGCAAACCCATGCGCATCTCAAACTCTCCTTCCACGATCATTCTAGAACGCGACGTTTCATGCGAGCTGGACCAAAAAGGCCCCCCGCCCCCTCATCACTCACTCAACCATGGTACTGCCCATCACGTTGTCTCACTGGTTCAACCGATGGTGGCTAACCAACCTAGCGCCTGACAAAGGAGCGCACGGCAAATTCAGTCGCCGAGGAGTTCTGCTCCGCCGACGGGGATGTCGCGGTGGTGGAACCCATTACACAACGCCAGCGCCTCGAGGAGGGAGAAAAAAGGGGTTGTAAAAACAGGGCAGTTATAGGCTTGCGCTGTTGGTCCATGGCATTCTTGGCCATGGTCCGATCATGCAGAAGGAGATCTTAATGTTCAGCCCCCCGGACAATAACTTGCGAAGTCTCACTGTTCGCCCCTGTCATCACGAATGGAGCCTTTCCTCCCCCAGGACGTGTGCCAAGTCGGGACGTTAAAAAGAAAGAGGGGGCCCGCGCCAAGATAGGGCTGCCGCCGCGGCTCGCGATATTAATATCCTGTTTCCTCCTGGGCCTTTGTTTCCTGCCCAGACGGAAAAGAAAACAGAAAAAGGTTTTGGTATTGATGCCCAGCTCGTGTCTTGGCCGTGGACCGGCTTAGCTTGCCTACCAGCACAGCAACCAACCTCACGACCATGGACGCTGGCCTCGTCTTAGCCGCCGAGGGCGAGGGCGCAACACACAACGTCACGGCGGCATACCTCGCCGAAGACTCGGGCGACACGCTTATCGGTATCTCCATCGCCTTCGCCATCCTCACGACGCTGTTCCTCGGTCTGCGACTGTTCGCGAAACGGTTCACGGCGGGCGGGTATGGCGTGGACGACTATTTTCTCGTGGCGGCGTACATCGTCGACCTGGGCATGTGTGCAGTGGGCATAGGTAAAGTTTTCCGGGGACCGTCGTGTGATGGGGCGATGGGGAAAGTATCGCTTGGACTAACTCGTGGGCTTTTTCAGTTATGGTTCGGGTGGGCGGTGTTGGACGACATGTTGAATTTGTCGAAGAGTTTCACCCGGCACTCCTGGTCGGCTGGGCCAAGTGCATTCTGGCCTTCGAGATTGTCTACTTCGCGTCCGTGGCGCTGCCGAAGATGGGAATCGTGTGCCTGTATCTGCGCGTGTTCAACTGGAAGGGCGGAATGCGGACGACTGCGTACATCCTCTTGGCGACGCTCGCGGCGACCAGCTTGTCCTTCATCCTCACGGCGTGTTTCCAGTGCACGCCGCTGCCGTTCTGGTGGGATCGGACCATCCCCGGCGGGAAGTGCATCGACGTGCAGGCATTCTTCCACGCGCAGAGTATCCCGGGCTTCGTGTTGGACTTCTTTATCATGGCACTTCCCATGAAGACTATCTGGAGTTTGAAACTCCCCACGCACAAGAGGATAGCGTTGGTCGGAATCTTCATGGTTGGCAGTTTGTGAGTCGCCCTGGACCCTGGGATGAACTTTGACTGACATAGACGCAGCGGTGTTGTCGCGTCAATTATTCGAGCAGTCACCTTCTTTGGCACCGCCGCCTTCACAGACCGTACATGTACGTTCGCCCTCTCACTCAATAGACCCCGCAGGCAAAACGCTGACCATGACCAGGGGCATCCGTCGCACTCGTCGGCTGGAGCATTATCGAAACAGGAACCTACATCATCGCCGCCTGCCTACCGCACCTCCGGCCCATGATCTCGCACTACACGCCGCCGTGGCTCAAGTCCATGGTGCGCAAGACGCTCTCGCAGGCCAGCAACTCCATGTCCAAAGTCACGGCCTCGAAGCACTCCCACCCCCGCCGCGGCGACGACGAAGTAGAACTCACGGCGCGGTCGCGAAAGCAGGCCGCCGACGCGGAGAGCGTGACCGGAGACGAAGAGCGCGGGTACGCGGGCATGCAGTCCCCCTCCGGCACGACGGTCGAGGTGCGCAAGTCGGACGAGATGGTCAGTGGCGACTGGGCGCGGCAAGGGCAGATCCGCGTGACGACAGAAGTGAAGCTCGAACGCGTACGGACGTCGGCTTTCTTGAAAGAGTAATGACCTGTGATGATTTAGTGTTGATAGTAATGAGAATCAGTCAAAAGACATACAGCTTCACGGCATTGTGGAAATCTTGCTGCCAAGGCAGAAACCATTGTGTCGCTATTCAAATACAGGGCCTATCCCAACCGCCTCGCAGTCTTTATCTTGATTATCGAAAAAGTCTACATCTTTGACCGTGCGCCTTTAGCCTCTGCAGGCCCAAGAAGCTCATCCGCGATCCCTCGTCCAGCCGCCCTCCCCGAGAAGATGCAGCCGCCCAAGAAGGTTCCCTCCAAGCTGTTGTATCCATGCACACCACCACCGCCAAATCCAGCAGCTTCACCCGCCGCGTACAAGCCAGGGAACTTCTCCCCATTGGCCTTCATGACGTTGCTCTCCAGGTTCGTCTCGATGCCGCCCAGCGTCTTGCGCGTGAGCAGGTTCATCCGCACCGCGATCAACGGGCCGTGGGCCTTGTCGAGCAGCTTGTGCGGCACCGCGATGCGACTCCGCTTGTCCGCCCAGTACGTCCTCCCATTGTTGATCAGCATCGCCTGCGCGTCTTTCGAGTACGCGTTGTCAAACTGCCCGTCGCGCAGCTCGATCGTCTCGCGGATGTCGTCGAGGTCCAGCACCGGCCCGCCGCGCTCGCGCTGCAGCTCGTTCATGCCCTGCACCAGCTCCGGCAGGTTATCCCGCACCACAAAGTCCTTGCCGTGCTTCTGGAAGTTCTGCACCGGCACCGTGCCCTTCTTGCCAAACACCCGCGTCAGCAGCTTCCACACGCTCTTGCCCGTCACGTCCGGGTTCTGCTCCGAGCCCGACAGCGCGAACTCGCGCGCGATGATGCTCTGGTCCAGGATGAACCAGCTGTAGTCGTACCCCGTCGCGCAGATGTGCTTCAGCGTCGCGAGCGTGTCGGTGCCCGGGAACAGGAAAGGTGGCAGCCGCTTGCCTGTCGCGTCGAGCCACAGCGAGCTCGGCGCCGGCAGCACGCGGATCCCGTGGGACGGCCAGATCGGGTCCCAATTCTGCAGGCCCTCCGTGTAGTGCCACATGCGGTCGCGGTTGATCACGTTCGCGCCGACCTGCTCCGCAATGCCGATCATCCGCCCGTCAACGTGCGCCGGCACGCCCACGACGAAGGTCTCGGGGACCTTGGGCCCGAGCCGGTCGACGGGCCACGCGGCTTTCACGGCGTCGACGTTGCCCCCAATCCCGCCTGACGTGACGGCGACCGCGGACCCAAACATCTCAAAGTCGCCGACGACCTCGCGCGAGGACTTGACGCCGCGGGCGGAGTTGTCGGGCGCGAGGACCTTGCCGCGCACGCCGATGGCGCGGCCGGTGGCCTCGTCGGTGATGATCTCGTCGACGCGGTGGCGGAAGCGGAACTGCACGACGCCGTCTTTCGCGGCGCGCTTCACGGGCTCGGCGAAGACGCGGACGACCTCCGGGCCGGTGCCCCATGTGACGTGGAAGCGCGGGACGGAGTTGCCGTGGCCCTCGGCCTGGCCGCAGCCGCGCTCGGCCCAGCCGACGTTGAAGAGGAAGCCCATGCCGCGGGCCTTGACGTAGGCCTCCATCTCGTCGGTGGCGAAGTTGACAAAGGCCTCGGCCCAGCGGCGCGGCCAGGTGTCCTCGGTCTCGCGGTCGAACTGGGCGGAGCCGAACCAGTCGCGCATGGCGAGCTCGCGGGAGTCCTTGATGCCCATGCGGCGCTGCTCGGTGGAGTCGACGCAGAAGATGCCGCCGAGGGACCAGAAGGCCTGGCCGCCGAGGTTGGCGTCGTTCTCCTGGTCGAGGATGATGGTGGGGACGCCGCGCTCGGAGAGCTCGAAGGCGGCGACGAGGCCGGCGAGGCCGCCGCCGACGATGAGGACGGGGCGGTCCTGGAGGGCGCGCTGGGTGTCGGGGGACATGGCGGCGAAGTGGGGGCCGGCGGAGGACGGGGACTTGGAGGAGGGCCGCGCCGGGGAGCGGAGGAGGATGTGGCGGACGATGAGCTTGAGGAGCCAGGCGGAGGCGCCCAGGCCGGCGAGGGCTGCGAGAGTTTGGGACGGTGTTTGCGGGAGGGAGGAGGACAGGAGGGACATGACGGGAGCCATTGCGGCTGGTTATGGACAGGTGGCGGTGGGTGTTGCGTCTGTCTTATTGCTGCTGCTGCTGACCCGTGGTCTAATTATCCGTCTGACGGGTCTTGGCTCTCTTCGGCCGTCGAGCTGGATTGAGCTGTCAGCACCGAATGACGCTGTGCCGCGATGGTGCTTTTTGGTGGAGGTTGTGGTGGGATGGATGATGTGTTGGAGAGAGTGCGGGGAAGAGGAGACGAATTGACCAGAAAGGAAGTGCAGAGAGCGAGACTGGCGTCTGGCTGCTTTTGCAGGATCCGGGCGCTTGGCGTCGCGGGCGGCGAGGAGAGGCGAGAAAGGTGAGAAAGGTGAGATGAGGTACGAGGCGCAGGGGGAGGGAGGTCCGCGGAAGGCCGATCTGCGACGCCGTAAGTTCCGTCGCGTGGGGAGCTCGGGGAGTTTATTCCTCTCTTGCTGTTATCTACGACGTGGAGAGATGGCGTTTATCAACACGAGAAGAACGAGGGGTGGTTCCCTGTTGTTGCATCTGACGGGTGATGTGCTTGTGAAGATGGTGGGAAGATGGTGGATGATGAGGACGACGAAGAAGAAGCTCTTGATGGCAGCTCTCGGTCGGCCGAACAAAAAGAAGAAGCTCTGGCATCCGGAATCTGGCAAAACGCAGCTAAAAACGGCGAGCTGCAGGGGGCAAAGGTGTTCTTCCTTGCTGCATCGAGTCAGCTCAGGGTCCCTGTTCTCCCCCAAATTTCCCCATGTCTTTTGGCGTTTCTTCATTGTGCGGGGAACCTTTCATCGTCCGAGGACCCCGGACATGCCTCGGCTTGGTCCCAGTGGCATGACAGTCTCGCCATCTTCACAATCTGTAATCATATTTCACATCGACTAATCAACCTCATCAACCACGGTTCTGATTCATTAACGCGACATACAGTCAGGCCTACTCCTGCACCTTGACCACGACCTTGCCAAAGTGGCCGCCGCTGTACAGATACCGCAACGCCTCGTCCGCCTCCCCAAACGCAAACACGCGGTCGACAACCGGCTTGATGCCCTTGTCCTCGTAGAACGTCACCATCTCCTCGAACCGCTCGCGCGGGCCGTTGATCAGGCCCTTGAGCGTCACCGTCTTGCGCAGCGCCAGCAGGTTGACGTTGGTCCGGTCCTCCTCCTCGTCCACCTTGCCCGAGAGGTACCCGATGCACGCAATCGTTCCGCCGAACCCGATCGCCTCGAACGACCGCCGCAGCGTCTTGGCCCCGCCCGTCTCGAGGATGATGTCCGCGCCCTCGCCGTTGGTGACGGAGTTGACTGTCTCGTCCCAGTTGGGCTGCGTGCGGTAGTTGACCGTGTAGTCCGCGCCGAGGGCCTTGGCCTTTTCGAGCTTCGCGTCCGAGGAGGACGTGATGAGGACTTGAATCATCAAAATCAGTCTCTTCTCACCATCTCATGACATTCCAAACATACCTTTCGCCCCGGCCGCCTTGGCAATCTGCAGCCCGGAGATAGCAACGCCCCCGGTTCCCTGACACACCACAACCTCCCCCTCACCTCCCGGCTGCCCCAGCGGTCGGAACTGGTTAATAGCCATCCACGCCGTCACCGCCGCAATCGGCAGACAGGCCGCCTCCTCGTCGCTCAAGTGCTTCGGCGCGCGCACCAGCCCCGTCGCGGGGAACACGCGGTACGTCTGCAGCACGCCCTCGAGCGGGAACCCCAGCCCGGACTTCATGTCCGCGGCCTTGATCTGGCCCTTGAGGTGCGTCTGGTTGAAGATGGACACGACGCGGTCGCCGACGGCCCAGGCGCTCACGTCCGGGCCCACGGCGGCGATGGAGCCGCACATGTCGGACGCCGGCACGAGGGGCTCCGTGGCTTCGGGGTTGATTGTCTTGTGGTGGCTGTAGAGGCCCATGGCGACCTCGGTGTCGCGGTAGTTGAAGGAGACGGCGTTGATCTTCACGAGCACCTCATTGGGCCCCGGGGAGGGGATGGGGGCTGTTGCGCGGAAGAGGTTGGCGAGGCCATCTTGGCGGGTTTGCCAGCGCTGGACTTCGGTAGGAGCCATCTTGTTTGCTGGTGATGTGAGACGTGTGTGAGTGTCGTGAAATGTACGCTTGTGATGAACAGTCTTCGTGAGAAATCGTTGTCGCCGGTCTGGATTTATGACGCACGTATTAGAAATCAGATCCGGCTTGTCTCCGCTGGCTGGTGGACTGCGGTGTGGACCGGGCGGGGACCCCGGCGATGTTCGATGTGTTTCTTGAAGCCGGGGGCGGCACCGAGTCAATTGCGCCGGGCATCTTCGGCGTTCCGGGTTTATTCACCGAAACATGATGTGATGTTTACGGTACCTGTTTCCTCACGCCGACCAGCTACGTTGACGAGCGTTCATTACCATGCGCCAAGTCTCATCAGAAACACGCAATTGATGTCCTCCGATTTGCTGGCAGAGAGCCCAGACCAAGACGTTTGTGTCCGATCAACTATTGGACCATCGTTTCCTGTTCATTACAAATAACGTCGTCGTTGGATGAGCGAAAACGGGCCAACGGGCCAAAGCCAGCCAACGCTCTACATCATCGCCACCCGAGCATGCTTCTCTGCACAGAAGGCCGCAACGCTTCTTCATCTGTCAGAGCTCCTTGAAGATATTTCCCGTGCGCGGGATTGACCACAACCGCCGGTGAAGCAGGGCCAGTACGTGACCTGCGACGCAACGTGGTGTCTAGTAATCGCGGCCCGTGGATCAGACGAAGCATGTGCCCTTAACAAAGCTTGATCAAGCACATGTCTGACGCATCATATCGCAACATGATGGAGACCTTTTTTGTCGCAAGTGGAAGGCTGGATTTCAAAAAGACTCGTCTCGAAACGCAGCCGTGTTCTAAGCTCATTTCAGATCGAATATGGCCAAGTTGTGTCTGCAAACAAAAAATAATAATGAATCTATTGAACGCCGACGAGCTCCAATCTGAGTGGCTCATTGCTATGACCATCGTCCGACCTTTCCAGATTACACATCGCCCCCTTCCCGCCAGAAACAACATGAACATGCATCTCCCAACCCCCTCCCCCGATGCTGCAAACAATTTCTCACAAAAAATGCCATATGTCCGAGTGTTTGCATCAGTCATCTTACCGCCGCCGCGCACAGAGCCACTCTCACTCGCTGCCCGTTTTCACAGCGTTTCCGTTTACGCCTTGGGGCTCACGTCAATCTCCCTCCGCCGGATCTCGACCGTCGCCTTGGCGTCGGTCTCGTTGGTCAGGCCAAAGGTGGTCGTTTTCGGCTTGTAGTCGCCGCCTGTCAGGCGCCAGTCGTACTTCATGATGAGGTGGCAGAGGATGATCTTGATCTCGTTCGCGGCGAAAAAGCGGCCGGGGCAAGCGTGCTGATGTATGTTAGCCATGTGATACGAGAGGAGTAACTGGAGAAGCGGCTTACCTGGCCGTGACCGAAGCCGAGATGCTCGGGCGACGTGGACACGAAGTGGGCGGCGCCGTCGTTGCCGGCTCCGAGCCTCTCGCGCAGGCGGAGGTAGCGGTAGGCGTCGAAGCGCTGGGGGTCCGGGTAGACTTGCGAACTCCACATTTGCTGGCAGCTGACGGTGATGCGCGCGCCGACGGGGAGCTCGAGGCCGTTGGAGAGGGTGACGGGCTTGGTGGCTTCGCGATGCATGGCGGCTGAGCGGACGTTAGCGTGAGAACTATGGCAAAGAGACGGGGATGAACTAACCCATGCTGATGGGGTTGATGCGCTGGACCTCCTTGAGGAACGAATCAAGAACCTTCATCTTGTACAAGCCCATCTTATTCCATCCATCGGTGCGGATCACATCGCCGATCTCCTTGCGGAGAACGTCAAAGTACTCGGGGTTACGGGCAAGGTCAATCATGGACTGCGTAACGACATCGGCGGTGGTGTGAATAGCAGCAAACGACAGCCCAAGCATCGGGACGGCAGGGTCGGCAATGGGCTCCTCGGACGCCTCCTCGCACCACTCGAGGCAGTCGTTGTACTCGGGCTCGTCCTCGCCAGCGTCCTCGGCGGCCTTCTTCGCCTGGCGGCGCTTCGCCACGATGGGGTTGATGATGCGGCGCGCGTCGTTCATCTGACCCTGCAGCTTCCAGCTGAAGGGGTTGAGCTGGTGAACGACAAAGCGGATGGACTTGGGGAAGATGCGCAGCAGTTCGGAGGCGAAGAAGGCGGTGCGCGCGTACTCGGAGGTGATCTTGAGCCACTTGTCGTTGCGGGCGAGCTCCTCGCCGCCGAAGATGCGGGTCGAGACGCGGGCGACGATCTTGACCATGTTCTGCTTGACCACGAGGGGCTTCCATTCTGTTTTTGGAGTCAGGACTGTGTGAACCTCGTGCCTCAAAACGTGTTACGACGTACCTTGGTCATCGCCGACGATGTCGTTGAGGGCCTTTGTTGTCTCATCAGTCATCGGGACCGTCAACTTGGCTGGTCTCAAAGTTAGCGTCGTTCTTTGCGGACGTGAGATGTCTGTCTTACCGAGAAACTGGGTGAGTCTTGTTCGGATGACGTGCTTCAGCGCCGGCTTGTACGGGTTCTTCTCCCTCAACGGCTCGAAACCGGGGAGGTAAGCGTGGAAGTTCTGCACCAACATGTGAGCATTCCCATTTTCCCCCAGACTTCCCCACTTCTGGCCCAAAGAGAACCTACCTTGTCAAGCACACGGTCGAAGCTGAGGTCGTCGTGGTTGCGAATCTCGTTGGCGTACGGAATCGGCGGCAGGATCGTCAGCTCGCCAGTCTCGGTGTTGACCTGGTACGGCTCGTCGGGCTTCTGCCTCGCCCTCCAAATCATGACGGCGCGGCCGAAGACGGCGAAATCATATTTGACCTTCAACCCTGTGAAATCCCACCTGGGCTTCGGTGCCAGCATCGGCGCATTTGACGCGATCGACGGCTTCTCCTGCTGGACGGAGAAGTAGAAGATGAAGAGCAGGAATGCTGTGATGAAGTACGGCACCGGCTTCTCTAGCGGGCCCGGGATGGCCTGGAGGGTGTCGAGGGGACCCCATGACTGGGAGTAGAGAGATTCGTTGGCGGTAGCCATGATTCCGATCAGGATGGTCTCGCCTGTCGAATCTTGGTGGTGTGGATGAGCTTCCCTCTGCAAGGGAGAGTAAGGAAGAGAAAAGGTACAAACACACTCAAAGGAAAGAAAAATAGAGGCACGACTATTTTGGTCTAGAACAGAAGTTGGAAACAAAAAGACGCCAACGGTCAAGAGAAAACAAACGATGGGGAAGCTCGAAGAAAAGGGAAGCCCGAGGTGGACAGCGCGTCGGAACGGGCAGACCTGGACGGACGCATCTTGGCAATGTCGGCGAAACACCAATCGACGCAAAAATGAGCTCGAGAGCTTCTTGGGGGCTAGCAGACAGACAGACAGACAGACAGAGCCCTTTCCGCAGTCTCTCTCTGTGTCCGTCACTCTGTCACTCTCTGCTACTGGGACCGGCGTGCGGCCTGCTGGGCGTTGACAGCTGGATGGACGGTGTTTGGTTTCAAGGAAGACGCAGCCGCACAGTCCGCCAAGGTCCTGTCGTTTGTGCTGTCTCGGCGCATGGACCGCATCCTCGGACGATCTCAGCGCCGATCGTGAGAGGAAAGGCAGCAGCAGCAGCAGCAGCAACTGTGTGAGTGAATGCGAGAGAGATGCACGACGGAAAGTTGGGAAGAGCCGTTGCAGGGATGGGTGTGTGGGTGGGCGAGTGGATGATGGTGCGCAGGGCACGGGGGGCGCGACCTGACAGAGGCGCCCAGAAGGAGGAACGGGTTGCTTATTCGAGGCCCTTCGGAAGGAAAACAGACTGATCCCCTCCCCCAGTGCAGCAGTGCTTCGCCGCAGCAGCGAGAATGATTGTGCTGTAAGGGGAAAACCTTCGTGGGGGGTCGAGCGGCTGCAGGATTTGGGTCGCGCCACGGACGTCACGGAGATGTGTTGGGAGGAGTCCGGAGTCACTTCCGGAGACGTGCGGAGAACCCACACGGCCGGGCGTCCGCCGCCGATGATTGACTGAAGTCCATTTTAGGTGCCAAGATATAACTTTGCGGAATTTCCAGCAGGGCACGAGAACAACCTGAGATTTCATTCAAACTATCGACTGTTCTTTTCCACAGTCACGGGGAGAGACCAGACCCGTAACACACCTCGACATTGCGCTTCCGCGACCTGCACTAACACCGTTCGTTTTCCTCGCTCAGCTGGAGGATGTAAAAGTGGCGTGGCACGTTGTCGGGGGGCTGAGTAACGGAGGAGCAAACGGCCGAGTCATGGCAAGGCAGCTTGGAGGGTGCACACAAATGACAAGGAACGACGTTGTCTGGAATGATGCTGATGATCTCTGTATCAGAAGCCCTCAGGTAAACATCTCTTTCGTCTTTTCCTTCTTTTCGGCATCGAACAACCGTTCCAACGTCTATGTGAAACATGATTTGTTCGTCCTGTTTCATTGGCGGAACACAGAAAGAAACGGTCGGTGGCTGAAACATGCATGACCTTCTGCACCAATTAGCGAGAGGTAAGATGAAAAACAGGAAATGTTTTCCCTCTCCAGTCGGTCCATCTTCAGACCTGGAATGGAGAGGCCTTTTCCAATAGAGTGAGACCAAGCCAGACGGGACGGGACGTTGGTTTGAGTTTGCGAGGCTGATCTCGACATATGAACACGCTCACAGTGCGAGGAGATACGTATCCTCCGGCTGCCGGTCGGTAGCGTTTCTGCTCGCACGTGGGTTAGGTGCAACGGCTTTGCTAAGAGTTTAGATATGCTTCCCGAGACGACTTCAGCTGAGTTTGGGGGGTTATCGCCGTTGATGGGATATTCATAGCTCACTGGGCGAAAGACAGTCCGGGACCCCCAGCAATGACCTAATCGACCGAGGATGTTCTGCCCTCCATACCGAATGCGACAAAGGTGGTGGTGTCCCGTGCCTGGTCAGGGCCGATACAGCTTCGGCCAATGATGTGATGCTTCGAGGCTCTTTTTGGAGAATTGCCAGAAGTTTCCCAAGGTAGGTGTATGTACTATGCAGTACACTCTATGTACGCGTACATATTGCTATAGAGTGGATAGGAGGAAAATGGAACGACACAGAAGTAAGGTTTGCTGCTCCAAAGTTGTAGCCCTTGGCAGGCAATCGCTTTGACGAACAGAACATGGCGTATGAGAAATCACTGCCCTGTTGGAAGAAACTCTGGAACTCGCCTTCTAACATCTGATTAGCGCCGGGGATGGTATTGAGTGACAACTAATGAGAAAGAAACAAATCGTTCGAATTCAGCTGATACCGGGCCTAGCCTCAACAGAGTCAACAGCGCGTCCAACAGATAGTATGCGCGATAGAAAATCCAAAGGGAAAAACGTCTGATTGATTTATGTACGGATTTCTTGAATAAATACCCGCGATAAACACGGTGCGAAGTGAAAGGAAGTAAATGTGGTTATGTCACGTGAACACGAACACGCCTCTCAGTGACACGCAGTGCTCATCAAGGAGACTTCAGACTCGTGAACAGCATTCGCTCAGCAAGAGCTTTAATGATCAAGCTCTTTAACTAGTCTTGAAAGACAGAGAGCCACTTCCAGAAAAGCCCTCAAGGGTGAGCATCTGGAACACAGGAGCTCCAGGCTTAAGGCCTAGAGACTTCCAGCCACTGAAGTGCTTCGCGACATTGATCGTACCACCGGTGGTGCGCTGAGCACGGCGGACAGACCAGTACTGATGGAACGAGGTGGCGCCGTAGATCTCAGGGACGTTGGAGTAGTACAAGTCGTAAACATCGTATGTGCCGCTGTCGCTGGTGACCGTGCCAACCGGCTTGCCGTTGCCAGGGGTGCCGGAGCCGTGGGCGTCGACGACGTACCACTCGGTCACGGGGTTGGTTGTCCAGCCGTATGCTGCCAAGGTCCAGTCGCCGCTGGCCTTGAAGGAACCGGAGTACATGAGAGAACTGTGGGACATCATGATCAGCCATTTGAAGAAAGTACCGGCGAACATTCCAGTTTCCAAGCACTTACCGAGGGGTGGTAGACCTGTAACCCTTTCCGGCCAAGAACTCGGCCTTGCAAGTCCAGTCCAGTCCCCACGCGCCGCTGTTATCGTCGCTGGTGTACTTGACAGTGGCGCCGTTGGGGCTGTAGACCGAGTAGTAGAAGCCTCCGGCGTTGACGCCGTCCTTGCTTGAGGTAAGAATCGTAGTGCCACGCTTCTCGATGCTGAATCCATTCTCCTCAGCGGTCGAGTTGATCATGTCGTGGATAGCCTGGAAGAACTCGGGGGAACGGGCGCGTACGCCCACGGGGGCGACCTGCTCTGCCGACGCGGCAGGGGCGGCCAAGGCGCCGCCGGCGGCGAGAGTCAAGAAGGCGAGGTTGAAGAGCTTCATGACGGCGAACAAACGAGTGTGTGAAGAAGAGAGTGAATGGGAAAGTGATTGCTGAGTGTGCTGTCAACATCGGGTCAACAGTATGCAAAAGGGTTCTTATATAGATCATGCAGTCTGTTCGTACCTCGGATTCCGTGACTCCAACTGACACGACAACGGAGCTAAAGCTTCAACCGCCGTGACAGGGTACTTTGCGCCATCGCACGTTGCAATGTGCCAATTAGACGAATGATGGCCAAATCAGTAATCCGGACCGTTGGGCCCATGGACTATGCAAATACCGGAAAAGTTCCGATACCCCTGTTCTGTTTGATCGTGGTGTGGCGCTTGTTATCAAATCAAGCTTTCGCTTCGGGCTTGCGGTTCTTTTCATCCCCAATTCCAATCCTATATGTGACCGCTCACTAGGGACATCTGAGCCAAAAGAAGAGAGTCGGATAATTGACAATGTCCTGGCTAATGTGAACCTCGCGAAAGCTTCTAGCTCCAAACTCTTGTTTGCCTAGCTGGTTAATCTACAGCACGACGAAACCTAACACGGCTCCTTCCAATGCTATTTTCTCCTCATTGCACACAAGAAAGCCGACAACTGGTATCCTCTTTAGTTTCTTAGAGATTAACGGGGATCGTTTGTGGAGATGGCATGTGGCCACAAGGGATGCGAGGAGCTCGCGATGCTCGGCGGCAGTCTTGAGTAGAGCAATCTTTTCACAGGACGATTGATCACGTGTGGCAGCCGGACTTTACAGACTTCTCCGCGGAATCAGTGACGTGATAACCTCGGTGACACAAATGCTGACATTGGTTGTGGAACGTCGCCGGGTGGAATTGATGTTGAATGCACACACCTGGAGGCCCATAGCTTAAAGTGAATTTACGAAATGAGACATACCGTCAGAAGTCTGCCTTCCCACATTGGAAGGCTACACCAAACATGAGTGCTTACAGCTTTCGCCATTGAACGCGATCAGCCTTGCCGCAAATCGCCTCGCCCTTCTGCTGCATACCATATTGCTTCGCCCAACTGTCCATGTCCACCCAGCCTCCATACCAGCCCCCGCAATGTTTATTGATGTAATCAAGGAATTCGTCGAACTCGCCCCCACTACATGGGTTGTTCCCTCCCCAGGAGCATGCAAACGCGACTTGCTTGCCACTTACGGCATACCGAAGACCGCCGCCAGGAATGACAGCTCCGCCGTCGCAAAAGTTCTTGAAGTTGGCTCTGACATTCTCCCAGTCGCCGTGGTTTACGGATTCACGGTAGCAACCGAACCTGGTGATTGGAATGTCTCGGCGGGTTGGCCCAATTCGAGGCAAGATTTCGGTGGCGACAGGAGGTTTAATGTCGTCAATTCGAGTGACATTAACGAGACCGCCCTCACTGAAAAATGCAGTGAAAATGCCGTTGCCCAAGTCATCAATCTTGTAACCGTCGTTACGGGGCATCGTGATCGAGGCTCCCATTACGAGAGCAACAGTGGCTCCTGGCAGCAGAAAGAACGTGGTGTGCATGTTGAGGTGGAGAGTTGATCAATAGGTGTGTGTGTGTGTGTGTATTATTTTACGCCGGTGCATCCCTCTGTTGATCAATAGGTTTCAGGGGAGAATCAAAGGTTGCAGTGTCTTCAGTCTTATGTTGAATGAAGATGAACACCTGTAAAAGAGGGGTATTTGAGGCAGTTTTTATTGGTCTATTTATATTTGAATACTTGGTTCTTGTTGTTTGAGCTCGCTTACCATTGGGGTTGCTAAGGTCCATCCCAAGTAACACATGCAAGTCCAAAACGCAGTTTACAGCCTACTTCTTAAGTCCCAAATTGCCCCTTGTCCAACATTACGACGATGGTGAACTCGTTGCACTGAGAGTTATTGTCGCTTACAGCCGTCGGATGGAGCGTATACCCCGGGAGGCACACTCATTGGACTAATACACATGTAAACCAAGTAGCTTCTACGAACATCTTGATTATCTCCCCCTTCTTCCATGAAATTGACCGTGGTCGACCACTCGATGTCTGAAAGGAGAGGATTATAGGCATATAGGTCTTTCACTTATGCTGGGAAATATTCATGCACGGCTAGTGTGCAGACGTAAGAGAAGGCTTACGGCTTCGTGGAATAGCACACATACCACATCACTCAGGTTGATGAAAAGCCTTGTCTTAGAATGAGAACACAACGTGGAGATCATACGAAAAATCCAACCAAGATGTACAAGTACTTTCCAAAAGCGGTGACGCACCAGGTCTCAAGTCAGTATCAGCGACAGTATGTTTCACTGTGAAACCTTTGGTCGGTGACAGGGCTTTGCAAAGACTGCTTGGACATGAAGTTATTAGTATGACTGATTATTGAATCACGCAATCATAATGGTCAAGGCGAGCGATGGTGTGATATGCGTAAGGTTTTGCAGGTGTATGGTTTCCTCCACCTTGGCCACTTAGTGCCTCACATCATGACGCTCGCATCCTTACCCGCAACGAAGAAACTGGGAACAGGGCCCCTTTTCCAATTCCAGGTCCTATTGAAATGCGAATTGGTTCAGTGCATTTTATTACAGAGCCCGTTCTCATTACTAACACTCTCTGACTGTTGTTAGATTCGATACGGACTGGTGCTTTGCGATGTTCCAAGGCGTTGGGGCCCTCTTCATTGCGGTTCCTCACCTTAATAGGGCAAACCGAAACTATCCGATGGTATTGGCCCAAACTTCAGTCCATTTGCGTGTTGCGTACACCCAGAAAGGGGACAAGGTGAGTCCTGAATGCTAGTTTCAAAGTCTATTCGGCTCATTTGGACTAATGCTAAACATGAGCTTTCCGACGTGGGCCGATTCGGCACTGGGCTTGAAACGAGGCTATCTTTTGATGTGCCTGTTCGAAATACGGCTAATTAGAATCTCCTGACATATTCGGGAGATTGTACCCAAGTTGCTGCGCTTGCAGCTCACGACTCACGCCGGAGATTGAATTTTGAAGATCTATCCTCAAGTACTAAAGTTAACGATGAAAGGTGCGACCCAAACCAGGACCAGAAAAAGCAAGCAGGCCGAGATGAAAGTGGGTAAGATCAGGCAACAGATAATGCTCGATCTTGATTTGCTACGCAACGATAATCTTAGCATGCAGATTGCAAGAGCCAATCGCACGTATCGAGTGCTGACGGGCTTGCAGGCTGACCACGCTAGCTGCCAGAAGCGCTATCTGCAATTTGCAGGATGACGAGTGACTTGCCTGCATTTAAGCGACGCGGTAGCGGGGTTTTGGTTTCGCAGAACACGACGAGTAGCTCATGCTTCCGCTTCGCAAGAGCATGTCAAACTGTCACCATCTGCAACCACATGTGTGGATAGTGCTACAACCATCGACACCGCCCGCAAGCACATTGACCCTCTTGTTTCTCCTTTGCAGAGACTACCTATCAACGTCTTTCAATTCACTTCCAGTGGCGTTGAGCAGCGTTCGAGGAATATACTAGCCCGACCTACTGGAAACGTGTGTTTGACGCTCAGGCTGCTCTCATCAGCAATATCATAGGATGCGCTTGCTTGATGCGAGAACCCTTCGGGTTCTTGAGTTCAACAACGACGCCATACCGCCTTACGCCATATTGTCACATACTTGGGGAGAGGAAGAGATCACCTACCAAGATCTCAATCCTCAATTGGACCAGATCTACAGTCAAATCAAGGCAATGGGGAATTTTCTCAAGGCAAAGAACGGATACCAATTTTCCAGCCAGGTGAAGACAAAGAGGGGGTTTCTAAAGGTTGAACAAGCAGCCAAACGAGCGCTTTCTGATAGATACGATTACATCTGGATTGATACCTGCTGCATCGATAAGTCCTCATCTGCCGAACTCTCCAAAGCCATCAATTCTATTGGAATGGGGTTTAGTGGGCCTACTGGATTTTTCAGCGTTTTTAGCGTTTAGAGGTTAGATTACTAGCCTCCTTTAAGAGGCGAGAAGTTAACTCAGATATTATTATTAATCCTTATAGATTAGAGGTAGAATTTACTTATTTTTCAGTAGATTTTTAAGCTTTTAATCTTATTCTTTTTGTTTTAGATTAGTAAATTATATAGCTATAGTAGTTTTATACGCCTTTAGGTATATATATACTACTATATTATATAGCTTTTAGCTATTAGGCTTATAACTATTTTAATAGTACTTAGAAGTAGATTCTTTCTTCTTTTAGACACCTATAGGAGGTATTAGAGAAGAGCCTACTCTTATATTAAGTAAATAGATTAATATAATATATATCAACTATAACTATTATTACTAGCTATATAATACTAAGAAATATAATATATTAATAGGAGTTAAGTAGTTATTTATAGACCTAATTTATAATAAGTAGAGAAGTATAATAGCTAAGTATAACTCTACTAATAGGAATATAGGGATATAAAAAGATTTTAAAAAAGATCCTAAAAGTATTATAGCTTATATAGTAGAGAATATTAGATTTTTATTTATTTTTACTCTTATTACTTTTTAATATTATAAGCTATTAAAGCTAAACTAAATCTACTTAATAGACCTTTTAAACTAATAAGAATATAAAGCCTTATGATATTTAGATAAAATAGCTTCTAAGAATTAATAAGTTTACTATAGAAGAATAGAATAAATCTACTATAAAGCTATTAGTAGTTTATATAACTCCTAATAGATTAACTAGTAGAAGTTTAGAAGAAGGAATATAAAGTTAACTATAGAGACCTAAAATAGTATAGTTAATTAAGCTTAAAACTAATAGGGGTAGAAGTATAATACTTACTTACTTAGTTATACTCTTTTCTCTTATCTCCTTTTCCTTTATTATATTTTTAAAAAAAGTAATAATAATACTTAAGATTAGAAAGATTAATACTTTTAACTACTTAAAAATAATAACTTATATATTTACTATCTTAATTATTAATAACTACTATAACTAAGATATAGCTTAAAATAACTAGGGAAATATTATATAAAGATATCTTAACTCCTTATAACTTCACTATTAGAGGTAAGTCTATTAATATATTTAATATCTAAACTAAAGTATTTAGGAATATCTAAAATTAAGCTAAAGTAACTTTAGCTTCTAAAGATAGCTTACTTAATAGCTCCTCTAGTTTATAAGTTTAAGTTACTAATATTAACCTCACTAAAGTTAACTATACTACTAATAGTACTTACTTCTATATTAGAGCTAATAAAGGTAAAGAATAAGCCTTTAGTATTAATCCCTACTATACTTTAAGTAATAATACCTATAGAGTTTAATAGTAACTTATAGTTCTTATTAGTAACACTTATCTTATTTTTATAGACTAGCTAATAAGAATTATTAAATAACTAATAAAGTTATACCTTTAATATTTTATACTAATTATAATAAATCCCTTCCTAAATAAGAACACTTCTATATTTATAGGTAATAATATTATAGATTTTATTAAAACTTATAATTCTTAATCCTATAAAGCCTATTAGATTAATAAGGATAAGCTAATAAAAATCTACCTCTATAATCTTAAGGACTTAAAGTAAGGTATTAAATTACTAATTAAGGACCTTAATAATTAGGAAGCTACTAAAGCTACCCTTATTAACTAGTATAGTATTATAGACGAAAGCTTTTATTAGGACCTTAATAAAAAGCTTTAAGCGATTAAGGATAAGCCCCCCCTCTCTAAGATAGATATTATTAGTATTATAGCTCTCTTTAATTATATTAAAAACTTATACTATAAAGTTACTATAAGGGAACTCCTAAGGTATTAAGATTAAGATCTTATTTACTTTATTTATAGGTATTTACTAAAAAGAGCTATTAAAGCTACTATAAAAGCTCTCTCTTATAATATTATAGACTTATTCTAGAAGTTTTAGCTAAGTATTAAGCGTATAATTATTAAATAGGTAGCTAGAAAGACCTCTTATATATATATTAGTAGAAAGAAGGCTATAAAAGTAACTACTCCTCTTTTAATTACTAGTCTTATTAAACCTATTAACTAGCTTATATAAGTTACTTATATTTAGTAGTAATATAATAACTTAAAAGTAGTAAACTCTAATAAAGTTACTACTTTTTAAGAGTAGATATACTAAATATCTCTTAATAGTAAAAACACTAAAGAATAGATAAAGGCACTTATAGCTAACGTTTAAAAACTAAGTATAAATATTAGTTAATAGCTTAAACTAGTATAAAATAGTTATATTATAGATATAAACTAAATATTTATAGCATAAAAGAGTTATAAATAATAAAGAGAGGCTAACTAATTTATAAGTTTAACTACTATAAACTAAATATAGTATAATATATTTAAGATTAAAGGTTACTACTCCTATAGAATAAATAGATACTATATAGCTAAATATAATATTATAGATAAGTTAAGGAACGCTAAAGTAGTATATTACTTAAGGGGATAGTATATTAGCTCTTATACTAATTATAATATTATTTAGGATAGTATTATTAATAAAAGATAAAAGAACTTAATACCTAACCTAGTAACTATTTAGGCCTATATCCTCTAAAATAAAGTATACCTCTAGCTAGAGGTAGTAGTAAAGTAATTCTATAATAAATACTACTTAGAGTAAGTATTTAGCCTAAAATTATCTATCTATTATTAAGAGGCTATAGTTATAATAGATAAAGCTTAGAGAGAATAGGAGGAGGCTAGATAATAAATATTAATAACTACTATTAATTATATTAATATTAAGTATATATATAGCTATATAGTTAATATTAACTATATAAGAGATAAGGAGCTAGTAGAGGTTAATACTATTATTAGAATAAAGAATAATAACTTCTAATATACCTTATATAATAACTCCTTAATAAGGAAAGTTTACTTTATAGACTAAATCTTAACTTAATAAGGTATTATACCTATAAGAGGTACTTAAGTTAAGGAAGTAGTTAAAGATAAAATAATTATATAGGTCTTTTTATAACCTTAGCTATAAGGACCTACTTACTATAAAGAGACTAAGGAGCTATACTAAATAACCCTCTTCTTAAACTTAGAAGAAACCTACTCTTAAACTATAGCCCTTTATAGTAAAAAGCAAATAGGTAATATTATTTTATTAGAATAGTTTCTCTTAGATAACTAGCTAAAATATAAATAGCTTAAGTTCTAATATATAATAGTATATATAGAGTAATACTAAGACTAAGTATATAGTAATAACGTAGTTACTATTAACTTAGCTTTAGCTAATATTTATATATAAGTTAAAGGCTAAGAAGTAAGTATTAGAGAACTTATAAAGAAATAAAATAAAGAATATAGAGCTAACCTATAGTAACTTAAGAATAGTAATCTTAGATCTATAAAGAATAGTATTAATATACTAATAGAAAAGCTATAACTTATTAGAGGAAGCTATTATATTAATATAAATATAGTAGATATATTAACACTATAAAGCTTTAGACTAATTAATATTAAGGTTTTAGCTATAGAAGACTCTTAGTAACTCTAACTTAAAGTTATACCTTACTCTAATAGAGGGTATATAATCACTATATATAACTTTATTATACCTTACTTCTAAGTAGCTATTTAAATTAGGTACTATCTAGCTAAAGAATAGTTAGAAATTATTAATACTAGCTTTATAGTAAATATTATATTTAAAGACTATATTAACCTTAATAGACTTTAAAATAGAATTATACTAACTTTAATTATAATTAGAGGCTTTATAGATATTATATTAGAACTATAGTTTATAAGTATTATTATAGAGGATATATATATTAGTAGCTACTATATACTTAATATAAGTTTCTTTATTAGCTTATTTAGTAAGACTTTAAAAAGCTTAATCCTTAGTAGCCTTTTTATCTATTATACTAAAATAGAGCTTAGCTATATAAATAGATAGATTAATAGCAATTTTCACTACTATACTATTTAGTACCTATTAAAGTATACCCTTAGTTTCTTTACTAACTAGTCTATAGCCCTCCTTCTCTATATTATCCCTAACTTAGATATATTTAATAAGATTTAGAGCTCCTACTATATTCCTAAAAAGGAGGGAAACTAGAGGCTACTACTACTATACCTAGTATAGTAGCTAGTTTATTAGAATTAGAAATAAATAGAGCTTTAAATCTTACTATAGAGGAGGATTATAAAACTAATAGCTAGAAAGATATTTAGATACTTAATATTAAGTAATTATCTTTAGATATAGTAGTATAAGCTAAACTTAAAAATAGAGATAAGATTAAGAGCACTTTTAACTATAAAAGTAAGCTCTTCTAGTAAATTCTTAAAATATTAATCTAATAAGCTATTACCCCTAAGATTACTTCTATAACTACTAAACTTACTAAATTTAAGAACTATAGCTTAAACTATATTTATAAGAACTAGAGGATACTAGTAGATTATTATAGATCTAAAGTAAGTCTAAAAAGGAAAANGAACTAGAGGATACTAGTAGATTATTATAGATCTAAAGTAAGTCTAAAAAGGAAAAAAGCCTTATTATAAGTAGAGGAGGTATATAAAGCTAGCCTTAATATACTAGCTATAACTAAAGAGATCCTAAATATAGTAAGGGCGCTAAATAATACTATATTCTTTAATAGACTAGAGAAGTCTTATAAATAGCTTTTAAGTTAATAGGGTAATAACTTAGTAAATATTTTATTTCCTTAAAATAATATCACTATATAGTTTAAAACTATAGAATATACTATACTTTACTATAAAGTTTTTTTATATAAAAACTTCACTATAATAAATATTATTAAAACTTCTTAAATAGTTTAAAAAGCTTAATATACTACTTACTATTTTAGTTCTATAAATAGATCTAAATAGGATAAATATTAAGAAAAGGTTCTATATAAAGTAGCTCTTACTAAGTTTAAGTCTAATTTTAAGCTT